AAAACCTAAAAGCTTTCGAATTCTTTTTTTTTTTTTTTTGGAGATGAAAACGTTTTTAAGTTGAAATGTAATCAAACCTTTTTGTTGCCAACATGAGATATATAAAATTTAAAGAACCACATAAATATTCGTAATAGGTTTTAAGTTTATTTAAAGGGAATGGCAGCAATTTAAAACTTCTACTTTCTTTTCTTAGATTCACGGAACATTTACAGGTATAACTATCCCGGTATTTTCCCATAAAAAAGCAGTCGTTTCAAAATTCTACCCTAAATGTAAGATTTGGTATTCTAACGTACTTACAAAATCGTTAGATCTGAATCTCTAGTCATGAGTATTTTTCATTAAGAAAAATAATAAATATCACAGCATACGTCCTCTAATTTGAAAGGAATTCTTATAGAATTTGTCGCGATCATCTGCGCTGATAATTGTCTAAAATGTCATTACATTTCTAGTGTTTCACACTGTTGCAAAAAACTTGATTAGCTGAAGTATTTTTTGTTTCACCTATGCAAATTTAGAAGATCTTCATACTGGGAAAATTGTTTTTTGAATTTACGCAGCACAAAATGCTCATTTGTTAGTATCAATGCAAATTAAAGCTTTAATTTTTGTTTCTTGTACTTATACGAGCTAGCGACAACAAATATCGATCTAAGGAAGCGCTTGCAGAAAATATGTTTTGGTATCTACTGGAATAATAAATAATATTCACCTTTCTCAGCTTTATCCTTCAAAAATCAATGGTTCAGATGTGAGGAAAGAGCATTTATTTAATAATTAAGTAAGCTGAATATTTCATTGTCATAGAATACGTAACAAAACGAAGCGGAGTTATTGTAAATTCTACAATTTTCCTTCTGTTTTAAGCTATACCTCACTGGTTTCAAATTGCATGTGGGCCGAATGTACGATCTAAAAGCAGTTGACAGGCCGATTCTTTTAAACAAAAATGATAATGTCTTTTTTAAGAAGACAAACATTTTAAAATTTTTATTTGCTAAATATTTGTCAAAGCATACATAAACAGTAATAATAATGATAGAAAAAAATTAAGATTTCAATTTATAATTATTTTCCGTTTGATTGTTATTTTCGATTTATAATTATTTTCCGTTTGATTGTTATTTTCGATTTATAATTATTTTCTGGTATCTGCAAGATATTTCTGATGATTACACTTCAGTCGTATTGATAGTTAGTTATAAATTAAATTTTCAGATCGACATTTATTTCAAATATTAATCACTTAAAATAAACAAATTAGGAAAACTTTCCAAGAGGACAAAATTTGAGAATAAATAACAAAACCCTACTATCATTTTTATTTATTAAAAGTTTTTGATGTATACAGAAAAAATACATATATTTGTGTGTAAATAATAATAAACTTCTTTATTGCTTTCTAAACTTCAACTACAACGCCTCATGGCGTTTATATTTTTATAAAGTTTGTAACCTTAGACAAAACTTACTAGAAACTAATTTTATCACGAATTAGATGATGCTCATCAGTCACCCTGGCTGTTTTGTTTTTCGATTCACATATAAATTTATTAGTTCGCATATAAATATCTTTCCAAATAAATCGATTGTTCTTATTGCAAAAAAAAATCGTAACAGGTGCGGAAAAAAGTTCATAAAATCTGCATCTTCAAATCTTTGAATAATGTTTATATCGCCGTAGAAACTAATTAGCCTCATTTACAGATTTACTAGGGCATTACTCACGTTCCTTTTGATGGCAATAAAAATAATGTAAAACTCGATTAAAAACCATAAACCTTTCTTCAAATTTTTGTCATAATAGTTTGTAGAGACATTAGGATTTTTTTGGAAGCACGCAAGATGAAAAAGAGCAAACGCCTTCGCCGGGAATCCAACCACGGACCTCTGGAATACCGGCCCAGCGTGCTACCGTTACACCACGAAGGCACGCTAGGGAAGTGGGAGAAATACCTTATAAGGTAATGTCATAATTATGATAATTAACTAACGCTAATTACGGGATTAATAATGTTAATTACGGAAAATATATTCGCGAGATGCAAAAAATTGCTTGCATGTGATCAAAGGGCAGAGAATATAAGACTATACTGTTCTATTTAATTGAACATAGAGAAAACGTACTTATTACTATTACAAAATTGAATTAGTTGGAATTCTTGCTGGCTGTTACTACCTGTTATTAGATAGAATTCTTCCCATATAGACAGAAATACCTTTCGTTGAGGGAAGATCTTCATTCAGTGTACTATCGTAAAAGTTTGAGCACCTTTATAAAAGTCAGTAATTATTTGAAGAGACAGAAACTTTTATAAGGGTGCCCTGGAAAACGGTGTAAACCTCCTTCCTAACTTGAAAAAAAAGCATTCTTATAAACAAGGTCAGCTTAGGACAGAGGTAACCGCTAAGCAAGTAAAATTTTTAATTGCGTTCTTGATCTCAGAAGCAAACGAAAACCCTTCTAGCATAGCTGTGCCTTGGCTTTTAGTTTCTGCCACTTTATGAAGAAGACTTCATAAGGTAAAACTTTTATGTCGCACCTATAATGCCGGCACTCCCTTTATGAAGAAGTCTTTTCTAATAAGCGTTGGTGAGGCGGATTGGCGTAAAAGTTTTGGCACCTTTAGAACTGGATACTGCTAAGAATCGATCCCTTACAGAAAATGTGTTAAAGCATTTGGCTTCTATGATACACATATAAAAGTTACAGGAAACGATTAGAAACTAGGAACGTATTTCTCGTCAAAGCAAAATCCGTGTCTAAACTTTCAACGTTTACTTTCTCCTTACATCACTATTATCAGACTTTTCAAGGATATGAAAGTAAGTGTGATTACGAGCCAATATTCCAAGTCTTCCATAAAGGCATCTCTTTTCTCAAGCAAATAACCTTCACATACTTTTCCGTATGAATAAAGCAACACAAAACAATAAAAGGAAACCCGAGGGGAAGCTGTAAAATTCAAAATTTCCTTGTAATTTAAAATAATCTATGTAATCTGAGTTATCAGTCCAAAATTGTTTATACTTTATTATATTGAAGGTGAAATGAGAAAAGTCTTTGGGCTTATCTAGCTCTGTTAAGTAATTATTTTGCTGTTACTAATAAAGCGGTAAAAGTGTCTTTAATTATACAATATTCTGCCGTTGATAGTTTATTTGTAGAGACATTAGGATTCTTTTGGAGGCCGGAGAGATGAAAAATTAGCAACCGCCTTCGCCGGGAATCGAATCACGGACCTCTGGAATACCGGCCCGGCGTGCAGAACCATTACACCACGAAGTGACGCTAGGAAAGCGAGAGAAATACCTTATATATTAATAACAAATTTTATTCGTATGATATGTTAAAAAAACCTGAACGCATATTAAAAGTAATCATTAAAAATTTTATTGTTATAAAAGTTTAAAAAAATCATAAATATATAAAATGTTGTTTATATAGCATTCGTTATTAAAACATAATCTGCTTCATTTATGAAAGGTTTATTATTTTTAATGAATTCTTTAAAACAAACGAGTTCCATAATCTTTAATGTATTCTTTAAACAACAGAAAATTCCCACTAATTTTAATGCTTTCCTAAAACAAACAACAAAGTATATATGCTGAATTAGTAAATATTGTCTCTATAGAATTTTACATTCACTTAAACACGAAGAAAAGACCTGACATATAATAATTAAGTATTTCCATTATTCACTACTGAATGAAGTTAAAGTGATAATATAAAATGAATTCGCAGAATATCCTTCAGGAAACTCTGAAAGGAATTGGATCGGAAGGCACCCTTCGTGTCAGTTGTACAAACATTTTGGCAGCAGACATCATAAAACTTAGTTTATTAATTTAAGCGACATTTGGAAACGTTCCGTAGTTAACAAACCCCGAGAATTCTTTGAATTAAAATTAAAATGATATGAAAAGCAAAAATTATTTTAGTGAATGAAAAAGTTTTACTTCTTACAAAGTTTCATATAAAATAACCATATGTACAAACCTGACCCCATTGGTGAGGAGCTTATTTTACCAGTTGCAACTGAGATTCTGGAAACCATGCTTGGAGATAATTTTGCCAAACAATAGTAACAAATCTATACCTTTATCAGATTATACTGTTGCCCTTTCGAATTGCTGATATTGTTGAAAATGCACAGCATCAGCTTTTAGGTAACAAATTGTAAGCTGCGTAAACGAAAGTTGCTTAAAAATGGTTTCCAATTCAGTCTGATGAAGCATTCTTCATTTCATCGTATATGTTCGATTATATGATGGTATGTCAGCTGTAGAAGAACTACTTTTCTGCAAGCCAATAGAAATCAATCATCACTCCTTAAAGGATTTTATAAGCGAGGCAAACGTGCAATGGAAAACTTTGGATGGAATATTTACTGATTTTGCTCGTGCAATGTCTGGAAGATTCCAAGGTATAGAAGCACTTGTGAAACAAAAATCTTCCACAGTGTAATGTAGCATACGAGTGGGCTACAACCCTTCTGGCCGACAATAATCGGAGTCATGGTTAACGCAGCACACCCAACACAGACAAACAAAAATGCAGTTAAAAGATTAAAACAGAAATACAATTAAAAACATCAAACCAAAATTCCCAATATTGTTTGTTCTATTGCCATTCATAAAGTTCATCAAATCCTTTGCAAATCTAAACTCTTTATTGCGGTAGTATAATTTCTTTGTCTTACCATGTTTTCCCTTGACATGTCGCAATCATACGCAGTCTTCGATGAAATGTTGTGCATTGCCTTCAGCAGTACAGAAACTACAAAGACTATTATTTTGCAAATTCAATCTTTGCAAAGCGCCCGTGTCCAGTAATTTTTTACTGTAATCAAAATTACACATTCTCATATTTTTAGAAACTTCGATTCAAAATACAAGTTCAACAAATAATCTTTCCTTTTTCCCGAAATGTTCTATTTCTCTTTCCAGCAATCATAAAAATTCTTGATTTTACCAATAATAATTCTTTTTTATGCTTGAATATCTAAAGCATTCCCGGTATTATCCACAGCAGCTTCTTTGGCCAGCATGTCGGCCTTCTCATTGCCTGTAACATCAATTTGAGCTTTCGCCCAGTTCATTTTCACTTCATTTATTTTCTCAACTTTTACAAGGAGATCTTTTATATACGAGACCAAAATATTGGTGTTATCAACATCTGCTAATGCTTCTAAACCAGAAAATGAAGTTTGTATATATATATTAATATGTGTTTTTAGAGTCAGGTTTTCAACAAACCATTTAAGAGCACATATGATAGCAGCCAATTCGGCTTGAAAAAACGAATTGTAAGGTTCAAGTCTAATTTTGCCATAGCATATTTATGCACCAAACAAGTACCACATATGCTGCACCAATTCCATTGTCATAACCAGAACCCTCAGTAAATATGTCCAGATCTCCTACACAAACATTTGTTCTCCGATATTCCACTGCTTTTCTTAATGCAGGATGTATACTGTTAATATTAAAGACAGAAAGATATGTATTATATGCAGCAAAACCTTTAAGTAATAAAAGTAATAAAATCAACATTTTGTGAACGTAGTTTAAATTTATGATAATGAAACGAATAAAATATCGGGAAGGGCGGCATACCGACCAATATGCACACGATTTCCGTTGAGACTGTGTTAATGCATCTCCATAGTATTATTATTATAAAGGCACAGTCCCGATCCTGTTCATCTTCACAGAGTATCTGGGCATATTACATGATCCACAATGTATATAACTCCTACCTTTGTTCTACAAGTAACTGGCTTACATTTGGAAACTGAACGCTTTCCTAAACTGACAGATACGACTACGACTATTTAAGACGATGGAAGAAAACGCAGTATCAAGTAATAAATACAAGAAACAAGTATAAACATTTTTTTAAAATCTGAAAGCATTCAGATTTTATATTACGCCCAAAGATGCGTTTTTTCATGGGGGATTCAAAACGGGATTCGAAAAGTAAATTCAGGCATTCAAAGTCATTCGACTAAAAATAGTGTTAGACGACATTGTGACATCTTTGCGTAGCTAAGCCACCAACGTAATACAAGTAAAAAAATGTAAAGAAACCTCGCGCAAAAAATATCTGGGCTTGAAGATGCACGCGGCGTTAGTGTTAATGGAACGCTTTGAAATCGTTAAGTTTGTTAATCAAAATATGAAATAGGTAATAAAACAAATATGAAATAGATAATAAAACAAATTAGAAATTCCAAATTTGGGCTTCCAGATGCCCATATTCGAGTGGAGGACTATGTTATTCAAAATTTGATTTTTCTGGATACCTTTTTTTTTTTTTTTTTTTTTTTTTTTTTGTGACAATGTGAGAAACATACATACGTTCACGCAGATTCTTCATTATTTAATTTCTTTAAATATAATGTAAGGATCTAATATTTGGTGGCAACAATTTGAAAAAGTGATTCAGACTTTTATATTGAACCAACGGGAAATGCCAAAACGAAATTAATAACCCTTCTGGGCTAACGCCCATTTAGGCTAAAAATAAAACAACAAAAAATAAATAAATGACAGAAATGAGCATGCTGCATTTTGTACTGACAATATTCGAATTTTGTTAACATGGAATAACGTCATATTCTGTTTTATACTAAGACTTTAAATATTTGAAATTTGTTGACATGTAGTTAACTTGATATTCTACTTTATACAGAGAATTTGGAATTTTTAACATGCATTAATTAAATGATTTTGTGGAAAATAATTTTATGGATATATCATCAACATTCTTGGTATTTCTGTATTTTTGAAATACAAAAAATGGTCTCAAATGAATTATTTGGATTATAGCAAAGCACATCAGTGTTATTTGCTTTCTGTGGAGTTCTAAAAAACGCTTTCACTCATGCCGCATTTTCCTCCCCGTCCTATGATGTAAAGTATCTCGAATTTGAGCGCGCACTCGAAATTTAAAGATATTACTTCCTGTAGATCGTCTGAATAAGCATCGTTCTAACAAGCAAAGACTTCAGAGAAATACAACGGGACCACAGAGTTACATTTCAAAGATATTTTCTACAGGACATTGTAAAGGGGTTTTGGCAAGAAACTTGAAGGCGGAGTTAAATGAACTGTTCCTTTTTTCAGATTCTGCATTTTTTGTAAAGCGCAGAATAATTCTTTGGTTTTGACCGAAAGAATACTTGCGATAGAAATTTCAGGTACAATTATCCAAACCACAGTATCGACAAGCAAAAGAAATAATCCTGTAAAGACTGCAGTTTTTGTGCATACCTCCGCGTGAAATCCTTAACGCTTAAAATAAATTAATCATTTCACATTTAAAAGTCATCTCACGGATTATCACGCAAGCGTTTGCGACATAAAAAAAGAAACTTTCAATCTGTAAAAGTAAAAAAATTGTTGCTCATTAGTTATCTGCATTAGTGTTTATTTTTCTTTCGCGTGTGAAGAAAATGGGGAAAGGTTATTCTTTAAATAAGATTTCCCGAATGTAGGATGTTATTTCTATCCAGTGTACACCCATGAAAACTCTTTCTTGTATAAAAACGATATTATCCATTCATTCGTTTTGCTTTCTGTATAGATCTGGCAATAATCCAGAAGGGTGGGTGATGTGTCCCACGGGATGCCATGTCGTGACTATTGTGCCCCCACCCTTTTGAGTCAGTTCAAACGTTCGCACATTTGTGCGCCGCCTGGTTTGTGAAATATGAACTCCATAACAAGTTAACTGTTTTCCTTCTATAAAAAATTACTCTCTTACAATTCAAATTTCATTAAAGCAATTTGCTTCAAAATGCTCACAAAATTAGAAAGCATTGAGTTATTTAAAGATTTAATTGAAATATTTTGATTAAGACATTGGCATAATTGAAAATAATATACAAATTTCTTTCCTAAATTTAAATAGTTGATCACAATAAGCGTATAATTAAGTTTAATTTTAGCATACCTAGTTTATGGAGCTTTGCAAATTTAGGTTGTCTTAAATATTCACACAATTACATAATTTACAGTTTAGTAAAACATACATAATTTACATAATTGTTTACATAATTTACAGTTTAGTAAAATCATTTGATATAAAGTTTTTTTATTTGTAATAAAATCGTGAATACATCATAAAACTAGTTAATTAATACCTAAAATACTATGTCATTATTTCGCTAAAAGAATTCTTGTAGTCAGCCAAAATATTGTAGCCATTTCTCTTTCAGAACTTATTCATTTCACTTATGCCCGAGCTGTCCAGTGAAAGGTGTTCAAAGCTAGGGCCTGAGTTCTGAAAAAAGCATATAACGCATCACAGTACATCACAGTGTCGAAGTACTGGGATTTCTTTCCGAAAGCTATTGAAATCGTTTTATAATATTTAAAATATGTAAAAATTTAAACAGTTTTCTTTCAATTCTATGTTTTAAAAGCGCAAAACTAGAAGCAAGAAAGTTTTTTAGATTTCATATTTCAATTGTTTGTGTCTTTCTCTAAAATCAAACGCTATATCCTTTCTAGAGGTGGGCAAAACCGCTATTCTGTGGGATCAGATCACAACCGTTAGTTCAATGAACTGAAACGGTTCTTTTTTAAGGTTTACTGTTAATTAACAATAAATAACCTCGATGAGTAATATCGGGAAGGGGGAGTAAACCAAGAACGGTGTGCGAGGATGGTGCGAAGTGAGGAAAGAATCAAATAAGCAGCAAAAATTTTGATAATATCAAATACGTATGATAAATTTTCGAATGCAAATTTCTAAAAGATATCTTTTGCATCCTAGAAACGTTTTATATTAGAAAAGGCCAATGTGTGTGCCGTTGAAGCAATCAACTGATAAATGTTAACATTTGCAGAATGTTAAATGTAACCACCATAGTTATCTTTGTATTCTCTACACTCTTTATATTTGGAATATAAACTGATGAAAGTATTCGAATGATTTGCTCCGGATATCTTCACTTGCAAAAATTGTTTTTGGTGTTTAAAAAAGCTTAGAAATTTTTATTTAATTTTTTTCTTCCAGCATGTTCATTCACAAAGTTTATACGAACTATTAACACACACAAAAAAAATATGAATTCAGTGCCTGAAATCGCATTAAAAAATTATTCGAAACAGATCACTGGGGATTAAAAACAAGAGTTGAACTTTGAACAGGACACAGATACGTTGGTTGATAATTTTAATTTAAAGCATTACTCGAGTCGTTAAAGAATCTAGAAGTTTACTAGTTAATTAAAAATAAGTTCAAAATTCCTTTTGCATAGCTATTAAAATTTGGAGTTTTGAATTCAGTGCAATTAAATTTTGTACGGCCTTTTAAAATATTGATTTCGTATTTCTTTTCTCTGAATAAAAGTGATTCAAGTCATATAGTTTTGGTAATATTCGTCGGACTCAATTCTGCATATTTCAGGATACTTGATAACCTATAAGATACTTGAGAGAATAAAGAGTTACATACTAATGATGCTTTATTTTCAAAGGGTTGGTATAAAAAATTAATTTGTCTTTGTTTTACCAAAAAGTGTGCCACGGGACCAAATTACAATAGCATTCAAATCTTAATTTATATAATTCATCTCTTAAATTCGAGACATGACTTTAAGTTGAAATAACACTGTAGAGACGATTCGATCTTCCAAAGCTAAGAAACTGAAAATTTTAATAGGGAATCGAACTAGAAATCTTCCATTTCCTAGTTGAATGTAAGAAGTATTTATTCCGTGAGAGCGCGAACGTAGGAATAATAATGTCATAATCTTCCGCAAGATAAAAGCATGATACTCAGTCGAACAAGTCCATGTGATGACGCGAGCTTTCATCCACCACATTTTTTTTCAACAGTTACTTAATAATTAGTTTTTACCGCAGCACTAAATATGAATGATCAACTATGCTCTTACCGAGATTCGAACCACGAATCTTTTGCTTACTAGCTCGTCGTCGTAACCACTGATATTATGGTGGCAATTTGACATTTTCTTGTAGAGTAAAGTAAATTATCTGCACTACGTTTGGAACTAATATCACTGGAAGTCCATTTTACAGATTTTACAATATAAATATCCATTCATATGAATTTAAACAAAGATTAAAGTATGGGAATTATTACTTTCATATAGTTTATTAATTATTGTATGGGCTCTCTTTTTCACAGCTGTTAACTATGGACATTTCTGATGGTAGACTAAAGTACTGTCGATATACGGTGGAGTTTCGGGTAATAAATAATACTTTGTAGGTCCAAAACGTATTTTATGACAATTTTGTTAGACGTATACAATGTACTTTAATGCATAACTTATTTTGATGCAAATATACATTATTTAAAACATCACAAATAGATATACTAATGCTTAATTGTTTTATAAAATTCTTTTCTTTAATTATGCAATTGTTCTTATTTTAAGTTTTATGCCTTGAACTTGAAGCTGAGAATTAAATTTACCAATGAAATAAATCTTGAACTCACATTTATGGTAAAGTGCTCATATATTTATTATTAGTGAAAATAAGT